AAATAACTTTAGACTTTAACACAGGCTCTGATAGGCCGGGATCGGATTGGAAGTGAAAAAAGCTGGATGGGGACATCCATAATGGACAGTCTTTGTTTCACACCTTTAATTCCCGCAGAGTCTCCAGGGGACACGTTATATTTCATATTATCAGATTATTTCCATCAGAAGTTTAGCAGTCGGAGATCCTTTTTGGGAACAGAGTCTGCTTTCAGTTTTTCATTTCCACACGTTTGTGAACACAAACCAACAGAGCACCAGAAATGTTACAAACTAAAATATTAAACTGAGTGCGGACAGTCTTTGTTTCACACCTGGTTATAAACAGGTTATATTTTACATTAGATTATTTCCTTAAAAAAAGGTTAGCCATCAGAGACCCTTTTTGGGGAACAGAGTCTGCTTTCGGTTTTTCATTTGCACACGATTGTGAACATAAACCAACAGAGCACCAGAAATGGTACAAACTAAAATATTAAACTGTGTGTGGACAGTCTTTGTTTCACATCTGGTTATACACAGGTTATATTTTAAATTAGATTATTTCCATAAAAAAGGTTAGCCGTCAGAGATCCTTTTTGGGGAACAGAGTCTGCTTTCAGTTTTTCATTTGTGAACATGAACCAACAGAGCACCAGAAATGTTACAAACTAAAATATTAAACTGAGTGTGGACAGTCTTTGTTTCACACCTGGTTATACACAGGTTATATTTTACATTAGATTATTTCAAACAAAAAGTTTAGCCATCAGAGATCCTTTTTGGGGAACAGAGTCTGCTTTCGGTTTTTTATTTGCACACGATTGTGAACATAAACCAACAGAGCATCAGAAATATTACAAACTAAAATATTAAATTGTAACTGTGTGTGTGGACAGTCTTTGTTTCACACCTGGTAGGTTATATTTTACATTTTATATTATTTCCATCAGAAGGTTAGCCGTCAGAGATCCTTTTTGGGGAACAGAGTCTGCTTTCCAGAAATGTTACAAACTAAAATATTAAACTGAGTGTGGACAGTCTTTGTTTCACACCTGGTTATACACAGGTTATATTTTTGAGTTTATATTCAGATTATTTCCATCAGAAGTTTATCCATCAGAAATCCTTTTAAGGGAACAGAGTCTCCCCAAATTTCCCCCAAACCTCTTGTTTATCTCAGCTCGGTCCCCTCAGAAACGGCTCACTTTCTTCACCCGGGACCCCCAGAGCCTCCAGGCATTTTCCCAGGATGCACCTCTCCTCCTCCCTCAGCGCCCCGACCACGGCCAGCTGCTCCCCGATTGGCCGATCGCCCCCCCGGCGGAGCCCCCCGACCCGGTCCAGGGCCCGGAGCGCCCCCCCCAGCAGCCTCCGGCACATCGCCACGGCGACCATTAGGCTCCGCCCCTCCGCCTCCTCGCACACGACCACGCCCAGCAGAGCCGAATTCCACCGGGGGGCTGGGGGGGGGGAAATATAGTTCAGTTATTCCACCCGGAAGACACAAACCGGGATCAACAGTGGTGAGGTATATGGTCATTCAGGTCCCTGATGCTAGCCTACAAAGTGCTCAAAGGAGACATGTTATACATGTTATGCTATTTCAACAAGTTAAACTAGTTCCCTGGTGTCCTAATGTAATGTCCGTGACAAGCTTTGGACAAAATCCCATAAGGATGAAGCCCAATAGCAGTTCAGTCCCCCTGCCTAACCCTAACCCT